AGTTATTGAACAATTCGTATTTCAAACATGATCCTTCCAAATCAGTATTTTTTGGGTGGAAAATTCTATCAATATAGACATTGCCCACAACGGCGCTAAGGCCTTTACCCAATATAACGTTAGAATTGGCACTGATCATTGACGATAAAGGACAACCGACTTCTGTGATCATGCTATACTCGTATGGTGCAACATATATGATGCTACCGATCCATGTATAACATAGTGTAGCAACAAACGATCTTGACCAACTGGGCAGGTAGTTGCCGATGCAAGATGCAACCCGATTGCACAACGTGCACATAAGTGCCTGCCTTTTTATTGCTAGCAGCTCGTGAATGTTTCACAGAAAACGCACATGCACTGCCTGAACTGCCGCTGTTTTATCACAGAAATTCCGTCTATATGGACATGGCGAAATTATATGTCTATCAATTATAAGCTTACAATATGCATTCATTCCTTATTAATTTTTATATGAACCGTTCATGTTTCGGAAACTTTTGGGCTTCTCAAATCCTTGATATATCATAATCAGAGTTGCTCTATGGACTCAAAATTGCTTGTATCTAAGCCTCGCCTACGAAGTTCAAGTTTTGTAGATCAGAAGCAAGTTATTTTTTGTCTGACATTCAGTATTGTCAATAAAAGTCCGTGTCAAGCGCCACTCGACACTCCATAAAATTAGGGTGACCATATGTACTTTTTTCAGTAGGACAGTACGTTCTTTTTGAACTCTGTACTACTGTCTTTTGAAAGTTCATCAAGTACACCTAAATGTACTTTTTTGTTAAAAAAAATTATGTCCTACTTTTTGTTTGAAGAAACAAAATAATTCTAACTGTTTCTGTGTTTTTGATGTACTGGCAATACATAAAGCATTTGCAAAGTTTCAGATCGTTAAGCTGCACGTCAAAACTAATAGTAAATATATTTGTCTACATTTGATCAGCTCGAACCAAAGCTGATGCCATTGTGAAAAACTTTTTAGCTCAAGAACTCGGTGCAAATTAAAAATTGATCTTCAAAAAGCTAATTTTGTTAGCGTCACGATCGATTCGCCAAATCATAAAGAAAATAAAGTTGTGCCGTTAAGGTGGCACGTCCCTTTTTTAGATTTCTTTTCAACTTCCTGTGTGCAGCAGTATTCTAAGTCCTTTTCATTTGATAATTCCATGGTGTGCATAGAGATGACTAAAAAATGTTTTAATTTTTTTTTTGTCAAAAAATGCATTTTATTGTGCATTCTTTCTTCACTTGGAACTTGTTCACAAATATAAGTTCAGTTCTGAAACTGTGAGTGGAACTTCCTCTTTTATGGAAGAATAAAACGAGTGATTACTCTTGTTCTTGTCACTTTTCCTTTTCGAAAAATCTTTGCTGTTCCTGAAAACTCAACTTGCTGCGAGACGATTCTCCAAGGAAGGCAAATATTTTTCGAAAAAGAAAAGTGATAAGAACAAAAGTAATCACTTGTTTCATTCTTCCATATGAGAACAATATTCTCACACAATTTCAGAGCTGTACTTATATTTGTTAACAAGTTCCGATTGAAGAAAGAATGCACAATAAAATGCATTTTTTGACAAAAAAAATGAAAACTTTGTTTTTTAGTCATCTCTATGCACACCATGAAATTATCGGATGAAAAGGACTGCAAACAGGAAGTTGAATAGAAATCTAAAAAAAAGTGACGTGCCATCTCAATGGTAAGGGGCTTTGATTATGAAAAGGGTATCCAAGTGAAATTACTTCAGTAGCGCGACTTACCTGCTGAAACATCAGAACAGTTGAATGTCTATGTGGTCAGCGTCTTAAATAATCACAATTTACTTGATAAGTGCATCGGGCTGTCTGCTGATAATACATATGAAGATTTGAAGTAAATAATGTGCTAAGTGCCAAAATTATTATTTTGAGATAAACAATATTTGTTTGTTCTACAATCAATATATTAAAAAAAACTCTAAAAATTAAACATAGGTTTATTCAAGTAAGTATTTTTCTGTATACTTAATATTTTAGGGAACTTTTTGTAAAAAATAGCAGAACAAAATTATAACTGTTACAAAATCATAGAATGTGTCGAGTCAAAATATAAATATTGTGGTAAATAATAACGAAAGAAACATAAAAAATTAGCTTTCAATGATTCAATAGATCTTCATACAATTATTTATTTTCTTCCTTCAAATAAGGAATCATTGCCAGCAGATCTTGTTTTTTTCTTCAGAAAGTCAACTTTGGCAGGTCAGGTTTGGAACTGCTATTAAATTATTATTCTAAATAAGAAAAACGTTGTAATAATTTACTTGCTAATTTTTAGTCGACCATAAAAAGAAACTGTAACAACGTGATAAACAATAACAAGCACTAAGTCAGAAAACAGCGTAGAACTTGCCGCCTGTAGCACAGCAAACTATTAATAAAATATAAAAACATTTATTGGCACTTAGCACATTTTTTACCGGCGGCGTTATGGCGATTGACAAGCGCGTGCTCTGTTGCGATTTTTTTCAGTACAATATAATAGTCATGGCACAGCTGCATCTGTATTATAATAAAACATAAATACCTTTATTTTGTTTGATTAAAAATGTGTTAGATTTAGACAAAAAATTACTGTAAATATCAGTGCTGATTTTCCTTAAAAGTGTACTTTTTTTTGTTTAAAAATTATGGTCACCCTACATATAATGGATTCTGATATGCGGGAAGCGATAGAAGTTTTATTGCTTGGCATTTTTGAAGCAAAAATAACACCCTCTTTGTTTTGGCTTAGTTTCAACAATTAATGAGGGTTTTTCAGCTATTTTCTGATTTTATCTAGCCACCTCTATTATCCTGACCTGATAAGTGAGGTTTTTGTACAATGGTCAAGTACTATGGATTTTATTCAAGGTACACAGCTGGAAACGTATACATGAGCTAGGCGAAACTTTGACAAATAAAACGGCCATATTATCACGATTTCGCCTATAGGACCCTCAAGCACCAAATTGGAAGTTAAATATGTGCCCCGATGTACGCGGTATCGCTGTGCGTAGATACTGCGATAGCGCAAAATCAGTAACTTTCGATGAGTTATGCAACTGTTTGGTACCTGATTACAGCCCCTATACACAGTCTCTTAAAATATAAACATCTCGCCCTCGTTTACAAATACAAATTCGTACTATACGATACAAGAAAAGCTGCAGATCTTGTACTATATATTAGAATCAGTATTTTGGGGTTAGGTCAGAGATAAGAGTGAAACTTGCGGCCAAATAAGTTTCCAGGATTACTTTAAAGACAGGATAGGACAGAAGCTTATTTTTGTTGATATTTGAAGTCTGCTCCATATTTTCTTCACAAATGTTCAAATTGCCTTGGTTGTCAACAGAGGTCTTAGAGAGAAGCGTTATTTCAAATAGCTTATACAGGGTGATTCACAAGTCGTGACCAAAAATAAAACAATATACACAGGACCACATTTTCGTCAACTGATATGAACTAAAATTTGTTACGTAGATTTACCTAGGTATTATCCACATTCAAAAGTCTTTACTTAAAGCTGTCGGGCACTAGTGGCGGAGTTACAGACGATAAGTGGCATTATTTTTCCAAATAAAAATTATTATTAATTATACCTTCAATTTTCTACAAATAATTACTCTTACTTTTTTCCTAGAATCCACTGTTTTCGTAAAAATAAAACAAATTAAATCATCCATCAAGAGCCGAGATATAATTAGTTTCAAAATAAAATAGGAGGCCTTGATACCTACTTGACCTTTCTTGGAAGGTAGTTTGTCAAAGTTATGTGTTATATGGTTGTGATTGTTACTACTACCATTTTTATGTAACAGTCAAGTCATAAGTTTCTTTTTTTCATTTTTGAGTGTTCTGAAATGGAATTTAGCAATGATGAGTACGCCGAAATTATTTTTCCCAAAGGTTTTTACTACTTTGATTTTTTTATTTTCACGTAAACAATGCAGGCCAATAAAAAACACAAGAGTAATTATTTGTAGAAAATTGAAGGTAAAATTCGAAACATTGCGTGTTTCCAGAAAAAACAGTGGCGTACTATTTCTATTTGGGAAAATAATGCAACTAATCCCTTGTATCTTCGCCACTGGTGTACGTTAATTTTAAGTAAATACTTCTGAATGAAGCCAATACTTAGGTAAATGCACATATCAAATTTTAGTTTATTCCAGTTGACGGTTTTGAAGATAAAAAGAATTGTTTTTTATTTTTAAACTTTTAAACCCCGTATCTTTTTAATCAAGCCCTCGAGGAAAAAATGTCACATAGAAGACACCCCTTAAAACGAAGTCCTGTATATGATGTTTCATTTTTGGTCACGACTGCATTTTTTTGTTTTTTTGTATTTTTTTTTGTCTCATATTAAATTTTCTGCGACAATGTGTAGCCCGAAAGTCCCTACATGCCACATTTTTGATTATTTGAAGTCGGTACAGACGTGTCTATTTTATTTTTTCCTCCTTTTAAACAAAGACCCAAATACTGGCTACTATAAAAGCTTGATACATACCTGAAAAGCTCGTGAAGCGCTCTTTTATGGTCTTTATAGTATTTAGGTTTTATTTCTCAAAGGAGAAAAATACGAGTCTATGCTTATAATTATATTTTGCAAGGTAGGACCTCGACAAGAATGTCTCGAGGCAACAACCCTACCATTAAAATTCTGCTCATATCACTGGCTTACCCTTGTTCGTGCAGGTACTCTACTCTGGGTACTCATTACTATTTTCAACCGCAAAACTAAGTCCTACAGAAAGTATTGATCTATTGTTGAATCTAAATAGAAAGAAATCAGCATCACGCATCGCACGCCACTGGTATGCATCAACAGTTTTACCAGTGACGTCAACTGGTTTATTCCGATAGCTGTTTCAACAGCTACAAATGCAGTAATGAGTACCCAACGTTGATAGAATTGCACCACAAGGCATCATCTCAGAAGGTACATATTCTGCTTGCAGATGACTAGATGATACAATTTGAAACTAAAACGGCAGATATTATTTTGAATTCGCTGCATTATAGACAATGTTGCTAAATCAGTATGATTTAGAATGCCCATTTACATTTTTTTATGTAGCTTGGCACAAGAGTGAGACATCTATAAGGATTTTTCAGTTGTACTATTTCATGATGCCAAAATGGTGTATGGCTAAAATGTTGGAAGACATTGTAAATGATTTATTTTCCTAACGGTTCGCGATCATCAAAGTTGGCTGTAACACCGAGATGATGCCTTGTACGTAAGGTCGAACGCAAGGGTTGAACCCTACTTCATCGATGCCAGCTTACTGCACAATGATGTGAGGTGCAGATAGTAGCACAGCAACCGTAGCTACAATTGTGAACAACGTGAAAATTATAAGGCAAAACCTATCGACGACCATCGCTGCAAACTTCCAATCACTTATCACTTCTGCTTCCTCATCGGCCTTCTTCATCCGGTTTGTGATGAACTGAAGCTCTTTGAGGATCAGTTGAAGGTCGCGCTGGTTTCCAGAACCTGGGAGGGAGGAGTCCTCGATAGTGGCCGCGTTGCGAAGAAAACCAGCACCTAGATTTGTGTTGATGGTTGAGTTGCCCGCGCCAGTAGCACCTGAGACCACATGGAGCTAATTAGGCCAAAAATCAAACGCCCAACTTCAAAGATCAGAAGACGAAGATCAACATAATGGTCATTAGTAACGTACCAGACCTCAACAGTTTAGATTTCTTTTTATGCGGCTTAAGACACTAGTGTACACAAGTCCCATTAACACTGTAGAGGAATTAAGAGAAAGAATAGTTGCAGCTTATGATAAAAAACACTCCAAGAATATTTCAACGAGTGCGCAATTCCATGAGAAGGAGGGCGGAAGCATGCATACTAAGTGAAGGGGGCCATTTCAACAAGTTTTGTAATCATTTCGTTGGTTTCAGTGTTATGTTTATGTTGTCAGTTGTTGTTGTTCATTACCTCTAATGTGTTTAATTTTTCCAATAAAATTAATAATAATTTTGCAAGTTATACAATAGAACGGTTTTTATTTTTTTACTCAAAAATGGCGCATCAAAAGAAAACAATTCCAGACAGATCATTTGTTTTGAATTGAACGGAGAATTCAAAAATTATTTTTATTTGGCATAAAACCATTGGCGTACCATTTTTTTCTTAAAAAATATCGAAGTCAATACCCGTACACACGCCACTGTTAAAGCTAAAAATTATTTTTGCATTTAAAAATATGCAGCTTCATTACCTTTCAGTACGTACTAAATATCAGTGAAATATCTCAAGCGGTTCTGAAAATATTAATTAATTTCCACTTTTTCCTAAAACTTCAACACCCCGAGTTTTTGTAAGGAAACATTTTTGGACCACAGTTTCTAAACCAAACTAACATTAATTTTTCATGTAGATTCACACCCTCAAATATTCGCATATCATTAAGAAACACCCTGTATAGGGTATAACTAGAAGGTGCATTTTGCCCCAAATTTCTGAACACAAGGCGGAAACAGATTACTGAATAATGTGTCCCAACTTAAGTCATCAATTCTTTTTTTTGATTAATGTAAATATGTCAATATAAGAATATATGCTCATGCGAAACATAGCCATAAACAATTTAATTTAAAATTAAAGCCAATGAATTTTGTGCCAAAGCTTCTAGGACATATCAGGGTTCTGTCAACCTGTCGCAGTGACCCATTCTAACTTCTATACTTGTATGGCAAATATCCAACACGACATTTACCTGAAACACTGCGGAAGTCATCGTCAATATCCAGAACATTGGCTAGAAGGCTTTTGGATGAGCGTTCCTTTAGCTCCATTTCTTTCATTCTGCTGTTCATCATAATGGTTTTACGCGTGATCTTCTTACCAGGTCGACTCATTCGTAGAATCCATGGCAGCCATTGCAAGAAAACTGATTTTATCTGGAAGCAGTTGTTGTTAGTACAAGCAAAAATATGCATTCTTTGAAGCGTATACTGTTATTGTTATTATACATCCAAATAGTGCCCCAAAAGCATTATACATTTTGTTTTATCAATTTATACACCGAAAATCTTAATCGGAAGAGGCAAAAAATGCCAGCCATCAGTGGAAATCTAAACCACGACACAGCGCTTTCCAAGTGGTAGATTCTAATGATGGCTAAAGGTCAACGGTCGTGATTATGGTTTCGGTCAAGGTTAATAACCAAGACTATGGTCAAGACTTATGGCCAAGGTAATGATAAGATTGAAAGCAATATGGAGTTCAAGACTAATGTCAAGGTTAAGGTTGCGGTTAAGGTCAAGCCACAGGTTTGGGCTAAGATTGATGTCACAGTTAAGGTGAAGGTCGAAGACAAAATGATGGGCCAGCGGTGTGGCTCGAACCTAATAATAATGAGTGTATTTGATATTATTTGAGGCACTTTGCAAAAATTATATTTTTTACACTAATATGGACGCTTTTTAATCAGGCATTCTAATCCTCTATGGTTTGAGATAAAAGTATTAGGTTATACAGGGTGACTTTGAAGTTGAGTCATTAATTTTCAGATAATGATTGTAGAAGGAAGATAAACCAAAATATGTGTGTAAAAATAAAAAAAAATTAAAAAAAAAATTTTACCTTGTTTTATAAAGTATCCTCCCGACAAGTATTTCAGTGCGGACCTGTATTTGATCGTGAGGTCTTGGAGCACCGGCATGCAGTCCCCTGTGTGGTCTTAAGTCACCTGATTCACGAGCCCGTTGTACTACATTAACAAAGGCACGAGGGGTTGGTTGCACTCGATTGGGAAACCGATCCGCAAAAACATGTGCCATTTTTTATTACGTTTGAGCCACGCAACAGACACTACTATTCACTGACACTGACTGTATACAAATGAATAGAATAATTGTAAAAACATGGTTCCAAATTCTTTCGCTTTTTTGTTTCCGATGCGATGAACCGATACGGCGGATTATATCCGTTGTCGCCAAACACGAGCACATAATATTATTATTGAGACAGGGCGGTACTCAAACTTCCAAAGGGCTATAACTTTGTTACTTTAATTTTACCAGAAAAATGGTAAAGGAAAAAAACATTTCTTTTGATCAGATATACTCACTGTTAAAATAAATGACTCAACTTCGAAGTCACCCTGTATGTGTTAATTAAATGCCGGTTTAAGTAGCGTCATATAAACAATGAAAATATCAACTAACCCACTGAGGCATTTCGTGAATATCCGCAGTACGGTGATGATAATTTAGAACGACAACGGTTAACACAACAGAAGAGGCAACCATAAACATGATGCAGTTGAAGTAGGTACCTGGAACATTTAACAATTGAATATTTCTTCATTGATTAACCAGTTGAATCAAATACTACATATGACATAAACGTATGTATATTTCTAATCTACAAAAGAAAAACATATAGATATGATGTAAAAATGAAAATAATGTAACTGTGGTTTTGCCAAGCATTAACACCCTGGAAAATGGATCAAGTAGCTACAATACACTGATGAACAGAGCCAGAGCCTTCTGAAGCAAACATACTGAGCTACACGAGTAGGCCACTTATACAACTCAGACACCGCATGGAGAATAAAACTGGCAACAATGGCTAGACTCGCCCCCGGTCTTCCGCTCTACCTAACGTTACATCACTGGACGGGCAGCACCGAGACAGTGTTGCCATTTATTTTCTCCAGGATGCTTGAACTCCATAATATTCGTGGCAGCGTACTGGCTGTGCTCTACACACATTGTATATTTGCTTACCGAGGTCTAGATCTTGCTGATGATAATAGTCTATTATATCAAATGTAAACAAGTACATATATACTACACACACACTCTTGCAAGCTTTATACATCAAATAGTATACTATATCTCCACGACTACGATCGTATCCTCCTCAATGATGTTTCAAAAGTTGACTGGCCGAGGTTCGTTATGGCAGTGTCGAGGCAATCCAAATAATCAGACCGACACCGCCAATGTATTGTTTAAAATAAGTCTGGATTATATTTTTGCTGCTTTATAATCCATTTTATTTTATTTTGGGTTTTAGATGGGATGAAAGCTAAAGAATAAGACGAAAAGGAAGAGGCAAAGCTTTTCTATAAATGCATTTCATCTGTAAAAGTAAATCGCTAGGTGCATATATTTCAGAGAGTATGTGGTGAGTCAGATGCTTTTTCCTTACATAACGTAGTAGAAAATCGGAAGAGGAACGATGTACATATAACAGCCGATATCAAGATTTGTCACAAGTTTAAAAGTAGGCGGCCAAAGAGCAACGATAGAGAAAAAGAATACCACTGAGAACAAGGCGACGGTTAAAGTGGAGGCCAAGTCCAATCAGTGGCGTAGCTACCTTAAGTGGCACCCGGTGCGGAAGTTGGTGGTGTCACAAAAGCAATAAATTTTATATGATTTATAAACGTCATGGATCATTTAATATTTATATTTAAAATACCGAACAAATAACAAAACATTTTTTTCTTACAATTAAAATCTCTTTGGCAGCTGCAAACTCAGAAATAACTTCATCAAAATTCATATTTTGTATTGCTTCGTGTTCGATGGCTAGTATGCCAAGATTGCTAAGCTGCGATTGGGCCATTGTTGCCCGCAAATAGTTTTTTATTAATTTCAGTTTACTGAAACTCCTTTCACATGAAGCTACGGACACACAAACAATTTCAGTGCAATCATAAGATTTGGAAGAGATTCTGTAAAATCCCATTCTAGAGAAGTCTAGAGATACCCAATCCGAAACTGTAACATTAGCGGCTTTCAGGGGTCTTCGCAGACTTGGTATCTCCAAAAGTAATTCTGTTTCTGAGACCTCATCATAAGAATCAGTAAATTTGAATGTAGCTAATTTCAGTTCTTCAGTATTCGCAAAAAGCAAAGTATTTCTTTGTACCATCTCGAACAATGAAGCTAGGTCTTGTCAACTCTGAATCGGTAAAGACATTCCAACATATCTTTTTGAAGTCCTTCTTTCAGTGTGTCCTGCATCACTGGCCATCTCACCAATCACCCATTTTTTTACGACGAAGTTGTGTTTCTGTTGGAATATCGTAATCTTCTGATTTATTTGTAGCAATATCTATTGCCCCTTCCACAATGCAACCCCGTTTTTCTTCAGTATAAAGACGAAGTGGCCCTATTTTTGTAGCAGTTTCGTCAACAATTAAGCAATGCAGTCTGTGCAATTTTTTATGTTTGCACATTGTTCTTGAAGTTGAGTCACCGAGTAGGTATCACCCCAAAAAAGTGATACCTTGTACGGCCCGCCCCCGCCGCCCCCCTTGCTACGCCACTGAATCCAAGGTCTAGGCTAAGGATGAGAAAAAGGTCAAGGTCAAGGGTAAGGTCAATGCTATCGCCAACGTAGAGGTTATGTCTGAGGTTAACGTTACGGTAATAAGGTTAAAGTCAGCGGTACGATAAGACCACGGTCAGGACTAAGATTGGAATTGAGGCTAAGGTCCAAGTCAGTGGCCAGATAGCTTCAAGGTATAGGGCGAGCGTCGACTCGTTGATGTGCTACGCCAATCGATAATAGTGAAATATATTGGCGATGTTATCTTGAGTGCCACTTCCTTGGCTAGTACCTTATGCAAAAAATCGCCTCCGAACTCACGGCACACTTCCAATATTTTTAATGATTTGTTTTAAGTTGGTCGTTGTGCAAGATTACCTGACGTGTGGAAGCCGTGAGGCTCGACGTAACATCATCATCACATCATCATGGTTGAAGAGTATTGAGCATTTCTCTCACCAAACGTCACCCCACGACTGCCAATCTATGCACGAGAAAACCTCATTTTAGCTAAATACGATTTAGTTATGTCGATTTGAGGTGAGATTTATCACTAGTCCAATACTTTTAGAAATTACGGTTCCATAAGAGCTTCACATCGATATTAGAAACAATGCAATACAGGTTTTCTGCATGGCTTAGAGTCAAGGCTAAGTTCAAGGTCAATACTAAGTTCAAGGCTAAATCGAAATTTGATGTCGACAATGTCAAAGTAAACAACATTTCGCATGATGTCACATTCATCATGAATTCCCCGGTGAAGACTGAAAATATACAAGATGTTCATGAAATTGAATTGCACTTAAATGTCCTTGGGAGAAATCTTGGACTTGAGATACAGGATAGTTTCTGATATCGGAGTGAAGCTCTTTGGGAAGAATAATCCAAACATCTAAAAGTCTTGAGCTGCATTACTTTGGTTAGTTTGTTAATTGAGTGATATGATTTTAACGTCACGCAGATTAGTGAGTTTAGTTTATTGATTTATCTGTTTTGTCAGATATTGTGATAGATACGTACTTGAGTCGGCTACAAAAACGAGGAGGTACGAGTAATGAGAAAACGAAATAAATAATCAGTAAGACAAACAGTACAAACAATTAAAAGGAAATGAAACATATCATCAACAAAACATACAGATTAACTTCCTAGCGGGATAGAGCCATTTGATACTTGGAGGTGAGAAGGTCTTTGGCAGTAGTCAAGAGTAAGTCGCTATCAGCGTGCCCTGAGATAGTGAATCAGAACAGCAGAAAAATTAAATTGGCAGATTTGGTGGTATGGCATAGTCTTCCTGCGTGCTCTGCTACTAATACAGAGTGACAGGAGCTAAAAGGATGCAGATGATTTTTATTACGGGTAGCAGGAATTAAATCTAATTATAGACCAATCCACAGATAATCTCCTCTCTCCCTTCTCCGTAAAGATCTTCTTCACGACGCGACGCCCCATGCTCAATGGAATGCGACTGAGCATGGTCAGCAAGCACATCTCTGTTAACGTTAAAAGGGGTTGGAAACCATGTAACAAAATTACTCGCAAAAACAGCATATGCAACAATAGAGCAACTTCAATATTCTGAACCAACAAAGAGTTGAGGACTAAGGGAATTGTTAATCTAATCACTGTTACTTGCGTAGGTGGTTTTCTGCGAGTATTTTCGTCAAACAGAAGATCCTGCTGATTGGCCTATTATATCAGATCGTCGAGAAATTGCTTGAGTGATCGATCCATCCCAATTTACTTCAAACTCCACTATTTGTGATAGTACATTATTTGTTGTATTCCCGTTCTTTTTTTTCAACAACTCGAATAAATTATTGCAACTGATGTGAAGTCAACAAAGTTCTATATTTTCGATAATAACGATCGCAGAAAAATCGTTACAGGAATAGGAGTAACCTTGAAGTTTTGAAATGATCATGATAAGATTCTCATAAAAATGTGCGTTGTCTATGTACAAGTCTTCGATAGTGTGACGTTAGTTATTCTAAAATCATTTGTTGGGCCTGCATCGATATCCTTCGCAATTTCCCGAATCACTCCTTCTTACACTTTTTTTTATTACCATCTATTTACAATAAATGTGATTTAAGCCTCGGTCACATGGCCAGCTGTTCACGTCAAAAATTTTCACACGCACCATCAAAAGCACCTTATTGCGATTAAGAGGCCTGACAATGTACAGGATGAAAATGAGCTGGAAATATACTGTAAATCGTTGATAGGTAAATGAAGGTATCTTTATCCAAATATAACACATTAGGTTCTAACATTAAGTCAAAACTATACTTAACTAACTTTACAAAAAATAAACAACGACTTTTCAAGATGTCTTCAATTAGTTAAATAAAATACGACTGTCGCTAGTTTAACTTATATTTTACTTGTAATTTTTTACATTTTACATTTTATGGGATTGAATATGAAACAACGATTACACCACGCAATTTACTCCACATACGCTGTTCATAGCTGCCGTTTATGGCTAGCATAAAAGTCTAGAACAGTGGTCGCCAACCAGTCGATCGCGAGCTACCGGTAGCTCGTAAAGGCAATTCTGGTGACTCACAACATATTTTAAAAAAGTGTAAAAGTCATAGAAGCTTCCGTAAAATTTGTAAATTCTGATAAAAAAACACAAGCAGCGGCAACACTGCGATGAGCGATCTGTTCGAGAACGATCTCGATTACATTAAACGGAATAAATACGCAAGGCGTGGCGACAGTGCGCTCGGTTTAAAACTCCAGTGGTTAAGGTTAGAGCTGGCATGCAATTAAAAACATTATGAGCAGTAGCAAGAAGATGAAGACATGCCATTTCCATTTGGAATGGTATGAACAATATTTCTTGAATATTCAATCTGGCTTAGAGGTTTTGGTGTTCTTGTGGATATTACAGAAGATTTAAATGAATTTAATTTGCAGCTTTAGAGGAGAGACAAAGAACTAGCAGAAATGATTTCTGATATGGAAGTGTTTATTACA